GATTTTGAAGTTTACAAGAGAAATGGCTTGAGAAGTACGATTTGAGTGTGTATAACCTCGCATTTATGTGATATATAGGATATAACAGAGCAAGAAATGTACGTAACGTTTTATTAATGATTTTGCTTAATGTACGTAGTTTTAATTAACGTATGTAACGTTTTCTTGATGTGTACGTAATATTTTATCTGGAATTAAAAACCTGTTTTATCGACATCGATCAAGTTCGGCCGTCGCTTCCCCTTAACTTTCAAATTATCATACAGTTTGAAAAAGAAGAAGAATTAGACGTTAATATATGTGGATTATGTTGACGCATGCGGAACATGATTTATTCTTTGTTCCACGAATTCCTCACAAAGTCATTTTTGCAAAATTTTTCCAAGACAAAATGGGTGAATCTCGTTCCATTCAAATTGTCATAGATAATTATTGCGCGGCTCAGAGAATATTATAGACTGTCGAGCGTGTGAATGAATTATGTGCGATGTAGTTCTAAACGTTCTAAAAACTATGGTTTAACGGCCGCGTGCGGAAACTATCGGGCAATTACGAGGGGGATACGGTCGAACGATGCCTCGAAGGCACTCGCACCGAATATTTTCTCCAAGTTTTTACTTCGTGCGGCTTTCTTTCGCTCTCGTAACACTCATTACGAGGTGCACCTCGTGTTTTTTTTTTCATACCGGGCTAATAACGCCACGTGTGCTTGTCGATACAATAAATGCAGTAAATACGTCTCAATTGCGACTTTCGATTTCCCGAGGTTATCACATTCTTGTTTCTCGAGTTTCTTGTGTGTATGCAAATCATCGTTCGCGAATGCGATGAACTATTTTATATTTATATGGAGATAACTGGTGAAGATCAACGATCACGAGCTAATTTTGAAATTATAAAGAGGAATATAATTTGTGAAGACAATTAAATTAATAATATCGTGTGTACTAATAATTCATATATAATAATATAACGTTATCTCATTTTGTCAAAGTAAAATGCATCAAGACATAAAATAAGATGAATCTCAAGAATAGCTCCAAGACAATAGACATTAAGTGTCAAATTGACTGCTATATTATCCGAACGAATGTCATCTACGACCTTTGTGCAAGACAGAATGGAGACAGGATGTGATAACAGTAGATAAGTACTACTATCGGCGATTTTTCATTTTAAGAGCTCATTTACAACGAATCTTAAAAAGCGATATCGTTCCCGAAATACTTGAGCTGTGTGGTCCGGAACGTCAAAATGGCCGTTAAAAGATGTAGAGGCACTTCGCAACTTGTCAGAGTAGCAGGAATTATTCTTCCATCAGGTACCATTAGTCACTATTCCTTTCACTGTATAACATAATACAGCATCTCCAGTCGCATCGCGTTATTCCTTCCCACGTTATCTTTAGGGCGCTGTTAGGTACGAAGCAGGATATAGTATTTCGTAAACTGTCACCCTTCGTGGAATTGTCTAGCGTTTAACCATAACATAAACGTATGGTTGAAATGTGCCTTGCTGCCACATCGATGACTTGGCCAAAAAGTTCTTTTACTTTTTTTTCTTCAAATTAACTCTTAAACGTCGAACTACGAGACACTGCGGTAGGACATACCTAATTCGATTGTTTACAACTTTTGTAAAAATGGAAATATTGTAAAATTGTTTTTCAATCGAAATACGCCGGATATTAATTAAAAATATAACACGGTACTAAGCAAATGTATGTATCTTTATTAATAAAAAGTTATAAGCATTAAAGTTGTAAGCGTTAAAAAAGCGTTGAAAAAAGAAAGCCGATGTACCGAAAGAAGCGTTTAAGGATTAAAATCATGTACCTAAGTACTGATTAAAAAAAAATTGTAAGAGAGTTTTGAAATTTTCTTGGTATATTTTAATTTACTTTGCCAGAAGTACAAAATTACGTTTATCTCTATGCGTTCTATGAATAGCGAGTGTTCGAAATTATTATTTTTTGATTGAATTATTGAGAAGGAGTGGAATAATTTCCGTGCGCTGGATTTAATGCTTGCTTTATAAATACGATGATTATCACGACGTGACAACACGTTCCAAGTGTATCACGCGTCGCAGATCGTTTAAACAGGCTCAAGTGCAGAGCCGCATCGTCTGCGCGCGTTGACAGAGTCGGCCTTTCGTTTATCCACGTGGTCAGGAATTTATTATTACTACCAGTCAAAGCGTGTACGGGGAGGAGAGACGAAGAAGTAATTATCTTTCAGAGACGCAGGATGCTCGCTTGCTCGTGTATTCCCGATCCTGCAATGTGTTCGGCACCCAGCGTGGAATTTGTCGGTAAGACTTTGAAGTACATCATTCTGTATAAAAAAAAAAAACACATCGACGCTCCCGCGCACGATGCAATCAGATAATGGAATCTTCCCGTTGATTCTTCTGTGTAAAGGAACAAGATATCCACGCAATGCGTCTTGTTGCGTTTTATCGTGCCTTCTTCTCCCGTCTTTTATTGCTCGCTTCCTCTCGATAATCCGAAGATTCTCGAGCTTGGAGATTGTTCGATAAAAGTCGCTGATCGTGAAATGGAACGAAATTTTTGCTTTATAATGTCTTTCGCTAATCAAAAAAGTGAAAACTTGGAGCTTAAATGCACATTTGCCTCTAAACCGTAATAAAAAAAAAAAACCATTGCAGTTGTTAATCTAGGCGGCACCAATACAATTTTAATTACGCGAACAGATTGTCTAGGAGTGGCAGAAGCGCGCCCTCGATTAAAGGAAGGAGGTTCACGTTCGCAAAGTGAACGAAAGCATATCTCGTGACTCGCCACGGTTCGCCTTGTTTTAGGGGGATGAAAAATGTCGATCCCGCGTGCAATTCACACGCAGACAGTAGGAATAAAGCGCATAAATGCGAACGAGGCCGCCATGGTAGTAAAAGCTTATTGTCATTTGGAATGGATCGCGGGCACGCTTGAACTGCGTTCTTGGACTTAATTACCCGCATGTTACGGGCTGTTTATTATGCCCTGCTTTATCGTCGTCGAGCTGACCGCGCCGAGCTGCCCCTAGGACGACCAAGAGAATTCATTAGGAGAACGAGTAGTGGCTTATATCGACCGATCCACTCCGCGAATTATATTAGGTTGAGTAAAAAGTCATCGCGTATTTTTTAGCTCAAAGTTGTATATACAATATCTTCGTCAATAATGAATGAAATTCAAATTTAAAAAAAGGGTTTTAAAGCTTGAAATCTCTACTTTTAAAAGCTTATCACATTTTTTAAGTTTATATGAGTTTGATAATTTTTACATACCAAAAACTACGAGCTGAAAAAGACGAAAAATTTTCTTCTCACTTTGTGGATTTGTAACGTGTCCAAAACGAATTTGAGAAAATTTTCGATTACCTATCGTGAAAGCTTGATACTTTCCCTACAAAATCGTTTTTTTTTTTTAATATTCCTACGACTTTTGATTACCGAGTTATCGCGGATTAAATAAAAGAATTATTTTGACTTTAATTGCTCATAACTCCATTAAAAATTGTCGTATCGTATAATTTAAAAAAGAGATTTTTAAAGCTGAAACTTTACTCTATCAAGATATATTTATATTGTTGGTAAGAAAGTAATTGCGGTTTTTACTGATAGATGTCTTTGAAAAAAACGCGATGACTTTTTACTTAACCTAATATTATGTGTACTCTCACCAATTATTTCTTGCCGCTGATGCACCGCGGCTGCAATTTCACTCTTTGATCGAGCTGGCGAGGCTTTAACGAGTTTCAGACAATAAACGTTTCATTGCGTTTCCCGTTGAAAGGCGGGAATTCCATCCTTTCCTTTCACCGCTATATCAATATATTTCCTTTGTCGTATATCATCGAAACGATAATAGGTCTGTCCGAAGACGCGCATTGTCGACACCGTCAGTTCATATGGGCATTCCAACGGGTTCTAGGTCGCGCCAGTTCTCTCGGGATGTCCGGCATCCTTTTCAAGACCGACCACGCATCTTAAGTTGCTCGTGAATTGTTCTGGTCGCCCAGGTCGAAAGGCGTTTCATTAGCGTGCCTGCGAGGTGAATGAGAAAAATTCCGTGCCAGTTTTCAATCCAGGACAATATTTTTGACTAGATGCAGAAAGGTCGAGAGTCGGAATCTGTACACGAAGAATTGTAGCTCGTCTTCTTATATAATTATGGATAAAGAGGAAAATAATCTGAAACATAATTCATATGCAATGTCGTTTAATATGTATTGACAATTCAATACCGGTTTAAATTGAACACATGTAAGATTGATAGCTACTTAGAGGGAATTTATCTGATACAAAATGGTTTGGTCATTTAGAATATTTAGATAAGAAGAAAGTTCTTTTATAATAATTACGCTATATAATTTTTGTCTTGTTCTATCTAAATTCTAAAAGACGCAATATCTTGATAATGAATTAATATTGCGATAGAGCTGACCCCCCTCGATTTTCTCCATTTATTCGTTTAGCTCGATGAGATATATCGCGTGAGTTGAATACCAGAAGCAGTGAAAGCGTCATGATCAGCGAACGGCGATTAATTAAAGCGCCGAGAATTAATGGACCGTCCTCGCAACGCGAGAGCGAGGAGCATAGAGAACACGACTAACCCGTTGGGACACCTGCGGAAGAATGCCTGTTTCTTCGGGTCTGCAGGGTTTCGGAACACCTGCCCACACTGTGTCATCGTGTATCTCTTCCAGCCTTTCCTCGGATTTACACCTCGATGTCGCTTGCGGTAGCGCTTAATAACTCGACCATGTTTCATAGAAGCTGCAAAAAAAGTTTCTGTGAATCGAATTTTTTTCTTGCGGCGCAAACCTGGATGATGTTCAGTTTTCTCGCTAACATTCGGTTTTTTTAAGTGGTTTCCAATTACTCACGACGTTTGAAGCTACACTTGCATCTTTTGTCTTATTACGTATTATTTTTATTTTAACAACTTTGTTATTTTGACTCTCATTGTATCTTTGACTGTCGACACCACAAGACCTTTACGTCGAGTCGCGAGAAAACGCTTACATGTAAGTTGATATAATTGAAATTCAGACAAATGATTTAAAAAATTCTCTAATTTTTCGTTTTCGTGTTTTTTTTTTTAATGACTACACAGCAAATCTGACAATCTGATGAGCGATGTGATTCTACTGAGTGACTCAATGTATATGACTTCGGTTTTATTTTATGTAAGTTTTACATTATGTTTGTATAAGTTAATATTTTGATAATCATTGGGCTATTCATTACATAGCTAATTTGGCATTTGGATAAAGAAGAACGAACTAAATTGTCGGGAATCGTCAACCTGGAATTTACGTTACTTATGTAATTTCGGCTTACAGTTTATATTGATAAGGAGCCGAATGGAAGGGTCAAAACGCTTATTTTATTCGTTTTGTTACATTCACACGAAAATAAAGAATTTTCTGTGCATCTGAACAACTGATGTATGTAGGCTCCGATGGGCTTTTTTACATTTCATTGTTATTGCGTATTTTTAAAATAAGAATTATCAGATTGTTTGCTTATTTTTGTAACTCGTATTCGTAGAATATTTAAATTTTTGCTTATTAAAAGGTTGTATTAAGCTTGTTTTGCTAGAAAAAAAAAACAGAGCTCACATTTAAGGTGGTTCTTTAGTAAAGTGCCGAAAATTTGGGATGCCTCATCAGGGTTCACCCAAAATTACAAATACCTGCATAATTTAGATAAAATATTAAAACTACGTGTATATTTTAATGAAATAGTATGGAACATAGATAGTAAATCAAGAACTGCATCTTCATTGAACGAAAACAGGATGAGATTATGTTTACTTTTCGAGGTCAAATTTATATGCAAGTTTATACACGTAAGTATCTTTCTAGAATGGCCGTTGATCTATTACTTTTTCGTGTCAATAAAGTCGTAATTTTCTAAACTATTATATAATCTCGTTTTTGAGAAAAGTCTACGATAAGATTCATGTGCAGTTAGTCAAAGAAACGTCTGGAAGTCTTACCTGTCACTAAGTTATATACGTGAAAAGTTACATTTTCAACATTTTTTCGCTCTTATTTCATCGTTAACCTAGAATTTTGCACACGTCAATTTCAGTACTTCAACTTCATTGCATAAAAAAATTAGACATTTCTCTGTATGGTAACTCGATTATACTGAAGAACCACCTGAAATTAACACTATCTTGAGACTTGTTGCTACCGCTTAATTTAGCTCTTGTAGAATTTTCTTCGTAATTGGACTACCATCCTTGCCTCGACAGCAAATTACTTCTAAATTGGGCATGCGGAACACCTTCGGGCTCGGAGCACGGTCATTCTTTATATTTTGCTTCACACGTCAGACTCGAAACAGTCTCAAAGGTACCGTATTCAAATTGACGCATCATATTTCAATGCGCTGGCGCTTATTATGTAAGCAAGGGAGAGGCGATAGCCGACTCGTCGGCGATAATTATTCAAATTCGACATCAGTATTCGTTATTTCGCGCCGCGGCGCCCGTTATAGTTTCGCGACGTACGAGGGCACGGCAGGATGCACGGCAGGTACATATAATAAATAATTATTATGTCGCGCTCACGAATGTAACGGGCTGACGAATTGTTCCGTGAATAATAGCCGTGTTGGACGGCTCATTAAAATTCGTCGCGATTTGCGAGGTGGCTTCGAAGCATCAATATTACGCGCATTAATGTGCGTTGCGCGCGGTTTAGCAATCGTATAACGTATTTTGTAGTTTCTAAAGCAAATCAAGTTTCCAATAGGTATTTGAAACAAAGCATTTAAGAAGTAGACAGATATTTAAGATCAGATCTATTTTTATTTTTACTCCAACAGTTTAATAGTCAGGCTAGTAACAATTTTAATTAATGAGCAATCTTTATATTAGGATTATTAAATAAATAACAATAAATAAAAGTAAGAGTCAAATACATTTCTCTAAAAAAGTCACATAGTTAAAAGAATTAATTACAAATGGAGAAAAGTAAAATTGAAAAAATATATAATAAAATAAAAACTCAGTTTAAATGCAAATAAATTACAAGTTCCGGTTACCGGATCGAGTCCTCTTTAGACGTTAACTTATCGAAAAAAATCGCAGTAAAATTAATTATCGGAAATGTTCGCATATTCACTGTAATCACAGTTCGGGTGAATCTTGATGTAGAAATCGACATTATTCACATAAATACGATTGAACAGTCAAATGTGTTTCATATCTCTTGGACAAGTTCTAGTTGATAAAAAAGATAAAAGGAACTTCTTACGAAAAAATAAACGCAACTAAGTTACATACCGGAATTTTAATAAGTATTGGGTTGTTCGGAAAGTAATTTCGTTTTTTCTTATGAAAATGAAAGACGATTTTCAATCAGACGCGTTTCAAATGATCATGAACGGTCGAATTCGATAAATTTAATCTCTCAGCGATCTCACGAGTTGTTATTCGCCGGTTTGCATCAATTAATGCCTTTATTGTGTCTTCATCAGCTTCAACTGGTCTTCCAGAACGTGGTGCATCTTCAACATCAAAATTGCCGGATCGAAATTTTGCAAACCAGTTTTGGCACTGGCGTTCTGTCAATACATCTTCTCCATACACATCGGATAATTTTTTTCTTGAAACGCTTGAACAGCATTTTTACCTTTTCGATAGTAAAAAAGTAAAATATGCCGAAAATGCTGCTTTTCACTTTCATATTTAGGGCACCAACCAAAAACTACTGCGTAGAATCAATATTAAATAGCGTAGAATAATTAAAACTCACCAAAAATCAAGTGTAAACTATTCAAACAAGTGTGCCCATATAAGTATGAAAAACCATTAGAATGTATTGTATAAAGTTAAGTAGAACGCAGATGTGTAAGATGGACATTGTATATCGATTAGGATTGATATTTAACTTATCATTATGCGTCCGACACATTTGCATCTTTAAAAACTTGAAAAATCTGGCACGCATCCTGTCATGAGATTCATTCGTGGAACGCGTCTGCATCGCGTTATCGAGGTACATCGCCGATTCTCGCAGTCGTAAATCTCTCGTGCACGCTTGGCTTTTCTATCCGCCGGGTTCCTTTCCGCGTAAACGCTTGACGACAGTTCGGCGACAGTAGTGGCATTATATCCAGGATGGTGTACACACGAGAGGAGAGAGAGCTCGTGCGCATTCCGGATCATGAGAGAAGGATCATCGCGACGCAGGGCGTTGAACCGCGTCCACCACGTCCGCGGCATTCCGCCGTCTGTGTTTCCGCCGCCTCTGCCCCCCCCCCCCCCGTGATCCTCTTCACGCGAAGCCGCTCACGCTCGTGCGTAGATGAATTTTTAGGCGCGGAGACACGATGGATCACCCGACTCGAATACCGAGTAGCCGGGACGGAGTGCGACGTGTTGATATGTGACGCGGTACTCGGATATACCGTCATCGACATCAGCGGCTGCCCGAGAGCGAGAGATGTCGGCGGCATCACTTCAGCACTTTGGCACGGCAATCTGAAAGCCGACGGTGAGGAAACGCTCGGATCCGACCGGGTTACTTCAAGCGTCATCGATGTTGCACACCGACGTTGTTTTCGCGAGTCGTATATCTCGCGTATGCAGTGGGCGTTACGATTGGGCACGTCACTTTCAGTCTTTATAGGCGATCTCCGCAGATTTATCGCTGTTTAAACTACGAAAATACACAATAGCAACCACTAGAAATGGTGTTGCGACACCTTTAAATATTATGAAATATTCCTCGAACGTGTTTATCCAAGAAATGTCACTGCGTTCGAAATTGAGTGCGATATTCAAGCGCGATCTCGCGATCTATTTCAGGGAAACTATTATTTCGGTTATTTGTGAATATTTCTTTACATTATATGAGAATATACGCTTGATATACTTGAAAAAAAAAAAGACCAATGGGGCAGAAACGATCGAATATTTCGGTCGCGTATTACAAGATACTCGGAAAATGGTGACGTCTGTGCGTAGAAGGTCGGCGCGTCGGCGGTACATTGAATATTTTAGCAGTTTCTGGGTCAGGGAAAATGATGTCAACAGTGAATTAAAGCCGCTTTCGTTGTCGCGTCGCCGAGGTGAGATGTAATAAACACGAAGACATTGACGCGATTAATTGTACTTACAGTGCAATTACTTAAAAGTACAATTAGCACATATTGGCGGTTCTACTCCGACTTTAATGAAAACTCCACGGAGTAGGAGACGAATTTTAAGCTCTATAAATAGGAATCATTTCGTATATCTTAATTAAGTTAATTCAGTAACGACAATCATACAAAAAAATATACGAGCGCAAAATCAAATTTGGAAATAATGGATGTAATACGAGAGAAAGCTGTCCATCTTAAAGTTATGAAATTACATTTGAAAGAATTTTCCTGAATAAAAAGATTAGATTAAGCTTTCCTTGTTGGAAACCAAATCTTCCGGGCGTAAACAAATTTTGTTACATTAATACTCGAAAGTAGAGTCGACCGAAACCAAAGACATTTTGACCTCCAGCCGAAGATGAATATCGGTTGTCATTCAATTCTAACCGAAAACGAAATGAAAATCGAAACTCAGATAAAAATTTACCTAAAAAAAGATAGAGAAAGAGAGGGAGAGAAGCGGAGTCGAAATCGATATTTTTGGATTAATTTTACAAAGACTGTATGATTTTCAGAAATCATAAAAAATTTATATACTCTTTAAAAAATAAGATTTTATTAAAATATCTAATTATAGTAATATAATAATCCTGCATCCTCAACTTTTAAAGAAATCAAATCACATTTATTATTAGAATCACATCAAAGTTTGTACTCAAATTATCTTACACTTAATCAACGAGTTTATAATTACAATCGAACAATCGGTTTTTTTTTTAAACGCTCATCGGCACGTTGCGACTTGTATACAATTTCGATTTATTCGCCGCAATTTTCTCTTGATTTCGGCCGAAACCCTGATTTTTTTCACCGAAACTGACCGAGCGAAACTGAAACCGAAATTTCGGTCAGACTCTATCTGAAAGATTGCCTAAAAAAAACCTAAAAAAAAAAGCGTTGCGTGAAAATCCACGAATTTAATTTCTTCCTACAATCATGAGGGCGAAGATGTTAAACCGGATCTTCATCTATCGTGGTTCGATGGCGAGCGGACACCCGCGTTGATCCGTTGCCATTGAATCTTCGCAACGAGAAGCGTGATCAATCGTCGATGAGAGGCGGTAACGATAATACTTATCGCAGGAGAGGCTGGCGGCGATAACGGGTCTGGCTTCGATAGAAATTAGAGCTCGCGTGCTGCTAGTCTCTCGACTTAATGTCTCTCACGTATTAATAGAGCGGAGCCATTCGCTCGCTCGTCACTCTAAAGTACACAGCGGTCACGAATTAGGCCGCAGCTGGATAAGGGCGATCTTTATGAAACGGGCAGTGCCTCTCGTTGTCGTTCTCGGCACCTGCCGAGTGCTCTACGTCCCTACCTTTACGGGGGGGTTAGCGTTCCTCATTTCAACGAGGGCACCATTTTTCTGCTCGTTAAACTCCATCGTGGGTGTGCGCGCGTATTAGCGTGCAAGCCGGAGGGGTTCCGTTTAACTGTTGCTGCTAGTTGCTACTACGAATGTTGCGAGCAGTCATCTCGTTCTTCTTCCTCGTTTCCGCAAAGTTGCGAACCCACCGGTTGCGCCAACGGATCGATGGAGACCGAGCGATGCGTTAAACCCGCACCTAATTCTCCTTCCCCACCACGTTGTAGAGTCGATGAACAAACGTAAGCCAAATTCCTGGAAAGGGACGGTTTATTTTCGTTCGCAATCAAACGTTGCAAGACCGTATAATTCACGCTGCACGTGGTGGTTATTGCCGCGTAAATTTACTGCGTTACCGATTGGCCCGGCATGTGGTCACGTCGAGAAGATCGGCAGATTTGGCAGCACTGATCGCCCGAAGTATCGATCGATTATCTCGAAAAAGCATCCTTCTAAATCCTTACTCTTTTATCTTAACCTATCATCGCTTAACGGAACTACAAAATAAGGCTCTTTTCCATATACGAATATATGTATTTATGTAAAAAATAACTTATATACAATGATATTTTTATGAAGATTTCTCTGAAATGAAGGATTCTGAATCAC